TTCCGACCATGATCAACGGCCTGTAAACAGGGCGGAGCGGAAACTAGGTCTTTCCGCCCGCCGCACACAAAAGTAGACTGGAGACAAGGCCTCGCCAGCTACCCAAATTGCTATTGAATATCATTGTTATCTTTACAAGTTAATATTTATAATTATTTCACTCTGTAATGTATCACACATACTTAAATATTCTAAATCTTTTTATCTCAACTGTCTGTAAGAAAACATTTTTCTGTAGACTAAATAAATAAATAAATAAATAAAAATCCTATTAAAAAATAAATGAAAACAAAACTAAAAATAAAAAAACCCATTATATTTATTTATTTTTTTAATTGTTTATTAATAAATTTGGTTTTTCCCGTAACACACGGGTTTCAATTTAAAATATTGATTGCCAAAATATACTATAAGATAAAGCATAGTTCATACGAAATCGGTACACATGAAATTGGTTATATCTTTTTAATAGGTTTTCAGCAAAAAATATTTAATATGTTAAAATAAAGAGAAAATATTCCGTTATAGATGCATGTTAGCGAAAGTTTCATATTTTGCTTGGATAAATAAATAAGAGACAATTTCTTTGATAATGATAAAATTTTTCTGAACACCCATGTATTTTTCGAATTGACTTAAATAGGTTATATTCGCAAATTGATGGCTTCCAGAACTTTATTCAAATCATTGGCTTTAAACTGATTTAAAGTTACCTATGAATAATTTATCTCATAAAAACCAACCAACACTTTACAAAAGGTCCAAAGTAAATGATACAATGAAAGAACACTTTGTGCCAGCGCTCCTTCCAGCATATTTCTGGGGTCATATGACCCATTGTGGAGTCTGATCGAGTTTTAATGAGACTGCCTCGATTCTCTTGTCATTTCATAGCCTTTTGACAACTGTGTCAACTTCTATAGATTTAGTTGTAAGGGGATATCACCCTGTTTCTTTTTAGCTTAAAACTTTTAACACATTTGGTGTGAACATTGGGGTAAAGTAAACGGGTCCGGTTTTTGCTATAAAATGTATTTAATCTAACCATTAGCGCACACAAGGGGTGGGTTTTGGGGTTCAAACCCCCCCTAAAGCTAATAACCTCAAATACAAACTCAAGGAAATTATAAGAAATATTTATTATAATTTCTCTTGCTTGAAAAAGCGCTTTGCTTTTGCTGTAAATTTTCATGAGGAGATGAATATACGAGAATTTTTTTCTTGAGAGCTGCAAACTGATTTATGAAAATTTGGTAGAATTTTTCCATTTCTCGTCC